GGTCGAAAGCCTTCTCCAAGTCCACAAAGCACATGTAGACTGGTTGGGCAAACTCCAGAACCCCTCCAGTAGTCTTGCGAGGGTAAAGAGCTGGTCCACTGTTCCACGGCCGGGACGGAATCCACATTGCTCCTCTTGTATCTGAGGTTCGACAAACAGTCGGAGCCTCCTTTCCAGCACCCTGGCATAAGCCTTCCCCGGGAGGCTGAGTAGTGCGATACCCCGGTAATTTGAGCACACTCTCCGGTCCCCCTTTTTGAAAATGGGAACCACCACCCCAGTCTGCCAGTCCATGGGCACTGATCCCGACCCCCATGCGACATTGAAGAGGCGTGTCAGCCAGGACAGCCCAACTATGTCCAGCGCTTTCAGCATCTCAGGGCGGATCTCATCCACCCCTGGCGCCTTGCCACCAAGGAGCTTTTTGCCTACCTCATCGGCCTCTGCCAGGGATATGGGTGAGCCTCCCCCTAGATCTTCAGGTGCTGCCTCCTCTGCAGAGGACATGTTGGTCGGGTTTAGGAGTTCCTCAAAGTGCTCTTTCCACCGCCCGACGATGTCCCCTGTCCGGGTCAACAGTTCCCCCCCCCCTGCTGAGAACAGCCCGGGGTAAGCCCTGCTTTCCCTTCCTGAGCCGTCGAATGGTTTGCCAGAACCTCCTTGAGGCCAACCGAAAGTCCTTCTCCATGGCCTCCCCGAACTCCTCCCATGCCCGAGTTTTAGCATTCGCGACCACCGCAGCTGCAGCCCTTCTGGCCTGCCGGTACCTGTCAGCTGCTTCGGGAGACCCCTGGGCCAACCAGGCCTTGAAGGTCTTCTTCTTCAGCTTGACGGCTTCCCTCACCTCTGGTGTCCACCACCGGGTTCTCGGGTTGCCGCCACGACAGGCACCAATGACCTTCCGGCCACAGCTCCTAGCGGCCGCGTCCACAATAGAGGCTTTGAACATGGTCCATTCGGATTCCATGTCCCCAACCTCCCTCGGGATGTGAGAGAAGTTCTTCCGAAGGTGGGAGTTAAAGACCTCCCGGACAGGGTCCTCCGCCAGACGTTCCCAGTTCACCCTCACTACACGTTTGGGCTTGCCGGGTCTTTCCAACCGGTTCCCCTGCCATCTGATCCAACTCACCACCAGGTGGTGATCAGTTGACAGCTCTGCTCCTCTCTTCACCCGAGTGTCCAAGACATACGGCCGCAAATCAAATGATACGATTACAAAGTCAATCATTGATCTCCGGCCTAAGGTGTTCTGGTACCGGAAAAGGACAAAGTCCAACCTCTCTCCAGGAGCTTGGTTCCAGAGCCAGCGCTGTGTGGAGGTGAGTCCAACTATATCTAGCTGGTATCGCTCCACCTCCTGCACCAGCTCTGGCTCTTTCCCCGCTAGCGAGGTGACGTTCCACGTCCCTAGAGCTAGTCTATGCTGCCGGCGATCGGCTCGCCCAGGCCTCCCGCCTGACCCGCCGCCCGGTCTGCATTGCACCCGACCCCGATGCTTGTCCCTGCGGGTGGTGGGTCCACAGGGTGGCTGCTCCATGCTGTTTATTCGGGCTGAGCCCGACCGGGCCCCATGGGCGAAGGCCCGGCCACCAGACGCTCGCCGACGAGCTCCCCTCCTGGGTCTGGCTCCGGGAGGGTGCCCGGGTTTCTCTGGTCCGGGCGAGGTGGCTAAAGTCCGTGGGCTGCTTATCATTAGGGTCGTTTGAACCGCTCTTAGTCTGGGCTCTCCCCCGAGACCTGTTTGCCTTGGGAGACCCTACCAGGGGCTAATGCCCCGGACAACATAGCTCCCAGGATCACTGAGCCACTCAAACTCCTCCACCACGTTAAGGTGGCGATTCGCGGACTCACTATAGCCGATATAGAGCAACTTCCGTCCTACAGATTCAACTCAGAGAATCATCTATCTGATGGAACGGAGGAAACACACACACACACATACATACATACACACACATACATACATATATATATATATATACACATACATACATACATACATACATACACAGTATATACACATATACACACACACACACACACACACACACAATAGCAGCCTAATGACTCATTGATGGCCTGGGATTTAAGGCCATATATTAGTAGATGTACAGTAAGCTTCATCTCAAATAGACTGCTGGTTATAAACATCATTATGATTAATTTAGCACACTCATAGGAGATCCCACTAATGGCAGATGTCATATGAACACAATATGGGTTATTATTAATGCAAAGGGCTAAAGTCGAAAACAACGTGAAACGTGAAGCAGCACCTCTGAATAAACTCAGAACTTTCTTTTCACCAGCACCAGAGAGAAGCTGATCCCGTGAGAAACATCTTCAAGGTGTTCTTTTCCAAATATAAACGCGTCGTTAAAACTACTCGAGCAGAACTAAGAAAAAAAAAAAAAAGGCTTCCGTGGTTCGGGTTTGTTATTGCGGACTTCGTGTGTCTCCATCACACTTGACTGCACCGATCAAAGCGTGGATAGCTGTCACGGCTTCACCATTATTCTGCCATGTCTGCGGCTATTGTTGGCGCAGATACTCTCCCTCTAGTAGTGTAAAGTCACGTTTCTACCACTACAAGGAGGGAATCACAGGCAACCGCGTCTCATTAGTGGGTCCAGATAGTAAAGGAAAAGAGAGGAAAACTCACCAGAAACGTATAGATTTGGCTCGGTGACAAACCTACGGTGGCATTGGGTCTGGATGTAACGTTTGCATTTCCACTGGCATTTCTCAGTCGTTTCATTTCACAAACACGCATCCTAAAATACTCGCTTCGGCAACTCCACGCGCTCTTAACGCCTAAACACCAGCAAAAAGGAACCGCGTTACTGCGTTACGGTGAAGACTGACTTCATCTCTCAACTTTTCGATGAGGCTTGTTCTGAAAGGGGGCTGTCCGCTGCACACTTTACTACTGCTGGAGTGCTGCTGAGCCCTACAGTGTGTACACACGTGACCCTCCCCCACTGTCTCCCCGCTCCGCTCCTCTGCTGCTGCTGCATACGGTTCTCTGATTGGACGAGGGGGGCAGGGAGGTGGGGCGCGAGGGAGACGCACACACACACACACACACACACACACACTGGTTTACACAAGTTCACTAAAAATATTGAGCAATGTATTACTATTATTCATGTCATTTCCTAAGTGGTGAGTTTGAATGGTGCCGCGCAGTGGCGTTTAAAATATGGTTCGTTTTTAGTGTTTTTGTTTTGTCCGTTATTTTGAATTCCCCCCCCTGGACCCAACCTTATCCTAACCCTCCCAAACCTTAAAGGATGGGTCCACAATTGTCCAAGTATGTCTTAAAACAATAGTCAGATGCCCATATGAACATTGCAGCAGCCTAATCATTTAGATTTTTCATACTGAAGAGTTCCCTTCAAAAATCAAATCACAAGTCAATTTCAATGTAAGTGAACGGGGACAAAGTCTTCACCCTTTGTTTTGTGTAAAAATGCATTCACACACATGAGGCTTCAGCAGACTGGGTCGGACAAATTTCATCTGACATTTATTTTGTTGTCTTTTTAGTAAAACAAATATCCCTCTTAGTGTCCCTCCACCCAAAGCCTGCTGAAGCCTCATATGAACTGTATAAACTGTAGAATGTACTTTTGCACAAGAGGACTGTGGATTTTGCCCCTCATCACTACATTGAAAGTGCATTATAAAAAGTATCAGAATAGGGGGAATGATTCCATTAAACAAATCCTGTTACAATGTTCTCATGGGCACCTGACTATTGTTTACAGACAGAATGCTTTAACCCATAACCTAATCAGTCAATGCCTAGCCATGACCTGGTGTTGAGACTGGAAACAGCCCTGCATTAAAACAACACCAGGGAGGGTTTGTGTTGTTTCAGGTTCTGGTGAGATATGAAATATGATCCAGGAGGGTCAATTTGAGTAAAAGGATGAGTTTGAAGGATTATGAGTCAGACAGTTTCCATTCTTGGATTAAACTAAATGTCATCCTGCAGAGAACAGAAATTCAGACAAATCTCTGTTGATGTCCTAAAGGTTATAACTGCTGTCCCGTTTGTGCTGTCTCTGTCTAGATGAAAGACAAGTGAATCATCATGTTTGAAAGCCCAGAGAAGAATAATAGTGGCTTTCTCTTCGGATGAAAATATGAGGAAATGTTTGTAATGAAGCAGACTTGATTATCACTTTGGGAGGTACTTTTGTAATGTTAGAATGGAAAAATGCCTTTGTGTTGTTCTGTTGAATGGAGTCTTTAATTAAGCAACTGAAGTTCGCTAAGAAGATTAAGGATTAGCATGTGCATTCGCCACAGTTTAAAGCACATATCATAATCCTGACATGGAGAACAATGTTGCACAGCAGATGATTGAATTAAGTATTAAATGTGTCTTGTTTGAACAGTAGCCAATTTCACCATTGTTTTATTACAATGCCTAAAGACTGCAGTGTTTAATGACCAACTACTCCCATATACATGTTCTGGTTTCTTGCTTTGCTGGATACACATTCTTCATGTTGCATTTTGCAACCATATTGTATTTTAATAACCCAAATAAATCACAATTTTCCATGGTCCCACAACAATATTTAATCATTACAGTACCATAACTTTTAGGTGCTGATGAGCCATAGAGAGCAACCAAATGTCATGTTCAGTTTTATTGTCACTGAACCTATAAAACCTCATTTGATCATTGCTAAGCTCTGGGTCTAAGATAACATGGCACATGCAGCATGGTACCAGCAGGGCTTGATCAGCGCTTCACAGATCCATCCCTCAATTTCCTGCTCCGCACCCGAGGGAAAGGAGGGATACTGCAACTAAGCCCTAAAGTGAAACCCTGCAGGTACGCAGTGTTAAAAGAACCTGGAAGCAGATATTTCATTAAACTCTTAATGTCTCTGCTCCTAACGCTCTCCTTGCAAGTATAATGGATTAGTTCTAGACAAGCAATACAAATGAAAAACAGCAGCGAAAGATTTTTGGAATGCACAGTTTCAAAACAAAATGCGTTGCCACGGCTCAGTGAACGCACTAAATCTTTATAGAGAGTGCTTAGGAGTGCTGGACGTAAGTGTGCCACTTTGAAAGAACTGAAGTTAAACATTACGCGGGGTCTGAAAAAATAATTTTTTGTCATTGTCGAGTAAAACCCCGATAATGTCCAACTCCATGAAGGCAGAATGCAGACGGTTTGGGTGAACAGCTATCAGATGATGTCTGGGACAAAAAAAAGACACTCTTTGAAATAACGGTGCTAACTAGAACCATACAGAGTTCTCCGACTTGTCCCCATAGAGAACCCTTTTTGGTTCCTGGTAAAAACTCTTGTATATGTTCCACCTGGAACCCTTTCAGTGAGTTCTACCCAGAACCCAACAGGAATGGTTATACCTACCATCTGTGAAAGGTTCCACCCAGAACCCCCTATGAGAAGTTTTTCAGTCCACATTCCCCGAAGATTCCATCCAGAATCTTTCCACGTTCTAAGGGTGGTAACAAGAACCCGCCCCAGGGGATTCTACTGACACCCATTTTATATTCCAATGGTTTCATCCAGAACTCTGAAGGGCCGGGCTGATGTAGCGCAGCGCAACCCACAGCAATCATATTTCACAAACTCAGTTTTTAGGGGTATGTGGGCTGTATTGTTCCTGTTCCTCTTTAACATTTGAACTATCATCCAAACATAGTTACATAGTCTTACAAGGAACTCTTGAAACATATTTTTCTTCAGAAAAAGGATCTTAAGAAGCAAATAGTTCTGTGTAGAACTTCCGCCCTTCAAGAAGAACCTGTTTAGAACCCTTATTTCTAGTATATATGTATATACGTACATGTTACATGCACAACACTGTTTTATACAATTCAAGGTGTTGTATATATTGCATTTATATTGCATTTAAAAAGACAAAATCCCAAGGAAATCTCGCTATAGTGTGACTAACACACTGCTCCCTGGTTGTGTTGCTATCATTAAATCTCATCAGCCACATAAGAGAGAACTCTGTGCTCTAAAAATTCTATTGGAAAAAACATTCACTTTGTCACATTGTCTAATTTTAATAAATCCAAATTTAAGGACAGAAAATCCCTATAATATCAGTTGTCACAACACGGCAGTAACAGCAGATTGGTGCAGTGGAAACATACAATCTTTCCGATTGTGATCACTTATGCAAGAAGGAGTTCTGCATCTCAGGAGTGAGTCTTAAATATCAAGCACTACACTTTCCACAGCTGCTGCCATGATGGAGCCAAATCAGAAGCAAGCATGGTGAAAGAGGAGTATTTCCAGCAGAGGAGCGGGGAGATTTGCTATTCACCAATTGATGATTACAATGCCTCCAACTACTAAGCTGTGACAAAACATTTCATGCCTGAAGGACCTATGCATCCACGTATGGATCAGATTCATGAGTCTAAAAGAGTCTTTTACTGCAGAAAGATGCACACATTATGGCCTCTGCAAAATGGGAGCCAAAATGCAGAAAACAAATAAGATGATCTGAAATAAATATCCAAGCAATAGCAAACTTGTCATACAGTCTGAGTCCCTTGTGTGTGATGTTTGGGTGTTAATACAATACTCCCTTTCAAACAATCCTCAGAGTTCCACAACACAAATCAGATTAAGACTTCTGTATAATGCACCGCTTACAGTTTTCTTTAGCGTGTATGGCGTGGACTATAAGCTTGTCAGGTGTTTTTCCCCACAACTTCTTGCTTTGTTTCTAATTCTGACCATGCGGATAGCTCTTGGTCACACATTATATGTATCAAACTAGAAGATAATATTGCCATGATTCTTACTTATCTTAAGTCACTATGGTTTCAATTAATTCTATAATCATATTAATCTATGGTACTTTTCATGAAAGCTTTTAGTGCATTGGTATGTTTTCTGAATGCTTTGTTGGTAGTATTAGATATTTGTGCTCCATCTGAACAATACGAGTTCTGTGTTCTTCATTGCATGTTTAAAAAGGTAGACATGTTAATGCTGGTTTGCGTGGCAGTGCCTGTGCTGCGGTCATTTATTTCAGCTGGAGAGAAAGTGAGTGTTAGTATTAGGGGCAGAGTGGACCGTGGGTCTGAGGACTAAATCACAGTTTATCCCCAATCAAGCTCTGAAATCTCCTCCTATTCTTGGAAGCCTCAGCACCGCTGTAAGGCTCTGGTCTGCATTTACTTTCCCACTGAAGACTTTAGGCTGCATGACAACATATGGCTTGTTTGCTCAGTCACTTTGGCACCAGATGGTCACAGACACGTAATGATAATGATTAAACCACAGCGTCTGTGGGCACACTGAAATTCTGACATGTTTCATGAGTGGTGTAAGTCATGTCTTTTTCAAAGAACTGCCAAATTACATAGAGCTGTTCCTGTACTGAAAGACTTTGTCAGAAGGCTATCACCAATCACAGCATGAAGACACACCTCAGTGCTTGTGTGTCTGATTTATTTTATGTGGAGAGAGCACACAAACAGCAGCACAGTGCATGCAGTGCACATGCCTTTAAGCTCAGAGGCCTGGGAGTGCACATTAAGCTCATTAAATCTGTGGTGGATTATGGTGTGTTGCAGACCAGGCACCAGCGTCCAGTGGCTGGGACGCTTCCTCCTTTTCAGATGGCAGGGAGGAAGTGGATAAATGAGGGAATAGCTCCTCCTCGTCATTATCAAGTCAACATCAACATGTTTCATCAATACAAAAACATTTGACAGCATAAAGACTTCTGATGCAATTTAAAACACACATGCTTCAAGGATGGGAAACAAAATAATATAATTACAATTCAGAATGTAATTTCAAACACAAACATGTGCAGAGTTACATAAAATGGCGATATGTACGGCAGGAGAGCAGAGCTTAGATACATCGTGCTCCCATGATAATCCAAAACAAGTTCATAAT